GTCCGCCGGGGGCTTGGCGGGCGGCGCGGCGGCGGCGGCGGCGGGGCCGCGGAGCGTGAGGAGGGCGCGGGGCGGCGCGGGGCCGCGCTGGCGCTGCCGGGCCAGGCTCTCGAAGGCGGCCGCCTTGGCGGACACCTTGTCGGTCGCGGCGGCAGGGTTGGCGGCCCGGCGCGGCAGTCGCTCTCCTCCCGCCGGGCCCGGCCCCTTGTTCGCCGGCTCCTCCGCCTTGGGCGTTGGCTCAGCGGCGAGGGGCGGGCGGGGCGCGGCGTCGCGCTCCTGGCTGGCGATGAGGGACAGGACGTGGCTGCCGGTGATGGGCAGCGGGTCGCTCTTGCGCTTCCACTCGCGCTTGCTGAAGCTGTACAGCTCCTCCATGCTGCGCACCGCCGCCGTCAGCTTCTCCAGCGCGTTCTGCACCGGCGCCGCCTTGCCCTCCTCCCGCGTGTCCTCCTCCGCGCCGCGGCCCTTCTCGGCGGGCGCCGGGGCCGCCTGATGCCGCCAGGGCGCGGCCGACTTGGCGACGATCTTAAGCACGGCGGGCTGCCGCGGGTCACTCTTGTTGGGCGCGATGGTGGCCACGGGCAGGCGGCCCGAGGTGCGGTGCACCAGCACGGTGCCCTCCGGCGGGCAGCCCAGCGCCCGGCCGCCCGCCGCCGCTTTGCTCCCCGCTTCGGCCGGGCCGGGCTGCCGGTGCTCGGCGCCGCCCTGCTCGGATCCCACGCTGCCCCTGTCGCTGCTGTTATCCGCCGAGTCGCCGCCGTGGGAGCCTTTGATCAGCTTACGGACGTCCCGCACCTGATGCAGGGGAGCCTGCGCCTTGCCCTTGCCCTCCCGCACGTCGCGCACCAGGAACTGCGGCACCCTGTCGGAGCCGTCGGCCCGCGGAGCCCTGTGGCTGGTGTCGGGCGGCCGGGCGGCCAGCTGCGGCGTCAGCAGCTGCGCGATGCTGAACGGCGGCTCGGCGGGCGGCCCCAGGCTGATCTTGATCTCGGGGAGCCGCGGCCTGGCGGCGGGCGGCGAGGCGGCGGCGGGGCGCTGCCCGGCGGGCTCCTTCTCCTTAGCGGCGTGCTCCTTCTCCTTAGCGGCGTGCTGGATGCCGGGCACGAACAGGCGCGACAGCTTGGTGGCCTTGCCGGCGGCCGCCTCGCCCGGCTCGAGCCGCGGGAACGGCTTCGCCTTGCCGCCGGGCGCCCGCTCTTCCTTGCTCTCCGCCTCCCGCTCCTTCCATGACCTGAAGGCGCTGTGCTGGCTGCGCAGGAAGGTGGCCCTGGCCGCCTCCGAGCCGCCCCGCCGGGCCTCGGCAGCCTCCTCCGCTGCAGCTCTCTCCTGGCTCCCCTCGCGCGGCGTCGACGCTTTGGAAGCCGGCGAGCGCCCGCCGCCGCGCTCCCCCGGCTCCTCTGGTGGCGGCGCGCCGTGCTCCGAGCCTCCCTCCGAGAGCCGGGAGCTCTGCCGCTGCACGCCGCCCTCCCGCGGCCGCCCGCCGCCTCCGGTCCCAGCGCCGGGCTCCGGGTCGCGGCCGGCGGGAGGCGCGGCGCCGGGCCCCGCCGAGGACGTGTCGGTGAGCTCGCCCCGCTCCATCTTGAACTCGTGCTCCAGCTGCATCTTCTTGGAGATGACGTTCTTCAGCAGGCTGGAGGCGAACCTGGACTTCTTGCTGGCCTCCTCCTCATCGGGGCGGGCGGCCCGGCCGGGCTCCCGCATGCTGAGCGTTCCCCGGGGCGGCGGCGGCGCTTCGACGTGCGCGATCTCGCCGTCCAGCTTGCTGACCACGAACTGCAGCGCTCTGCTGGGCGCCTTGCCGGAGCGCACGCACAGCTGCCCGCCGCCCGTCGCGCCCCGCGGTCCCAGCGCACCGCACTTGAGGTCCAGGTAGGTGGACCAGCGGTTGACGCCCAGCGCATGGTCGGAGAGGGAGGCGGAGGAGGCGCGGGAGCCGAGGCTGAGGGTGTCGAAGTAGGGGTACGCCAGGCTGCGGAAGGCGCGGGCCGTCAGGTTGCGCACCTCCTTGTCGGCGTCGTCCAGTTCGCTGACGGCGCTGGAGGCGCCGCTGGAGCAGCCGCCCGCCTCCCTGGCCCCGCAGCGCGTCTGCAGGCGCGCGGGGACGGCGATGAACTTTTTGGCGTGTTGGCGGCCGGCGTCCTGCCCGAAGCCCGCCGCGCGCTCCGGGGCCGCGGCGACGCGGAGGCTCATGTCGCCTTCATGCTCGGCGGCGTAGATTGCGTCGCGCTCTTCCCGCGCGGCGCTACACTCATTTATAGCCCGCGAGGCCGCTTTGATTGATAGGAGGATGTGTCCCGCGGGGCTCGCTCCCGCGCCGCCGGGCCGCCGAGGCGCGTCGCTGCCCGAGCTGCCGCCCGCCGCCTCGCTGCCGCTGCCCGCGCTGTCCGCCCGCGCCGTGCGCTCGCTGGGCGTCGTGCTGAGGTAGCAGCTGTTGTCCTCCTCCGTCGGCGTGTCGCCGGGGGTCTCGTCGCTGCCGAAGGAGGCGTAGTCCACGAAGGAGTAGATCACGTTGTCGTCCTCGAAGTCCCAGCGGGCGGCCAGCCCCGCGTCGAAGTCCATATCGTGGTCCACTTCGCTCAGCTGGATCTCCTGCGTGCTGATGTAGTGCGGCCCCGCCGCGCCGGGCGCGCCCCCGGGGGCTCTCCGGGAGGGGCCGCCGGCCCCGCGCCCCGCTCCGGCCTCCTCGTCGCTCTCGCAGCCCAAGGAGGAGGAGGAGGTTTGGCCCCCGGCCGCCGCCGGTTCCTCCGCCCCCCCGCCGCCCGCCGCGCTGCTCGCCGAGGGGCAGGAGGAGGAGGACGGCGACCCCGGCCCCGCGCCGCATCCCGGGGCGGCGGCTTCGGGACGATGCCCTGCCGGGGCCGGGCCCTCCGCGGCCGCCGCCGCCCCGCCGTCCGCCGTCCCGCTCGCCCGGGCCTCGCTCTCTGCTCCGGCCGAGACGCACACCTCCGCGTACGCCGCCTCCTCCTCCTTCCCGGGGCACCGTCCCCCGGGACCGGCGGCCGGCCGGCCGGCAGCGTCCATGCTGGGGCCGGCAGGCGCGGCAGTGGCCCGAGGGGGCGGGCGGGCCGCCCACCCGGCCCCCTCCCCTCGGCGGGAGTGGCCCGAGGGGCCGGGCCCGGCTGCGCCCGGGCGGCGGCGGGGGTTTGGGGGGACTCCGGACCGGGCGTGGGGCGCGACTGGGAGATCCTCCGCCTATAGATAGAGCCGGCGTCACGCGTGCCGCGGGACAGGTGGCTGTTTGAAACGCCCGGCACCGGCAGCGGCGGTGCTGTCGGGTGCCGGAGAGCCCCGCGAGTCTCGGCCGACACCGAAGGGCATTTCGTGGGCTTTTCTGAGCCCAACCCGAGCGATTCGCCGAGCGGTCGCAGCAGTGGCACGGCTCCCCTCCCCCAAATCGCCGTGGATGGGAATGGCGAGCTGTCAGATCGCTAGGAGACAAAGGATGGCCGGCGAGCAACGCCTAGGAGCGGTCCTGGGGTACAGTATGCAGCTAGCAGCCGAAATTCATACGTTCGGAGCCATACAAGCCCCTGCACGCTCGGCGAATTAGCTGGCGTTGGGCTGACGTTAGGTATCATCTGGGGGAGGGCTGTCAGAGTCCCCCACACAACACCACCGGTCGTGCTCCCGCAGTTGCCCGGGTGCTTCGTGCGCAGGGGGGGAACGCGGTGGAGAGGCGAGGCCCAGCCCTCTCCCCTAGCAGTTCCACACCAAAGAACGGGTTTTCTGGTGCTCCTGGCCCTGCAGTGGGGCTGCTGCACTGGCACTCAGATCCCGATGCTTGCAGCATTCCCACAGATCAGTTCTTTGTTTTTGAAACCTGCACAATTACATTTTTAAGTGGTAACCGTTGCTCACAGACCCAGGCTGAGATCCCCAGCCAGCATCCCCACCAAAATGAGCGTTTATACTGTCTGGTTTCCAGCTGTGGCAAGACATGGTTATTCTGTTTTTCTGTAGCAGTATTTTGAACTGGATTCACTCAATTGCACAAAACCAGCAGATGATTTTCACAACCGAGGCTAAGACCATAGCAGAGCACTCGTATATGTATGCTTACAACACTTAGAATGCTTACAGCTCCACCACAGAAAAAATCCACACCTGTTCCCCACGGGAACATATGCATGCCTCAGGCATTTGCACCAGCATCCTCTCCCTGGCACCAAGGTGTGCCACACTAAACTCAGCCACTTCAAGCCCTCTTCCCCTTGAAAAAAGCAAACTGGTAACATCTGGCCTAAGTGTCCTACATGTATTGGAAAATGGGAAAAATTGAGAGGGATTTCCTCCTCTTTTTTTTTTTTTTTTTTTTTGTGGGTCAGAAGTTTCTGCCCTGACATGGTGCCAGCCCCCCAGAGCTACTTTGCTGTGCGCCTGGCCCAGAGCAAGGTGCAAAATTCCCTGAGAGGTCAGCCTGAATTCCTCCTTCCCAGCCTTCCCCCTAAGCTACCTTTGTGTAGGCTTCTGCAGGACCCATTTCAGAGGTGCCTCCAAATCCCTGGGTATTCCACAAGGAGCACAGCCTGTACAGTGTGTAAATTGGTCCTTACCCAAACTTCTCCTTGTCCCACTTCAGGGCATCAGACACAGCTTGTGATCGTTCAGCGAGATTTTTCTTCCCTAGTGGATAAAGAAGTAAAGTTTAGTATGTGTGAATGGCCGAGTGGTCAATGTGTGCCAGGGCACACCGACACTGATAACTCACAGCTCAGACTCAGGACAGGCAACAATGCCATTCGCTGACTAGGGAGACCAAAAATAAACAGTTGTTTATTTTCAACAGTGACCAAGATGTGGAAAATATTGAAAAAGACCGTTTGTTCTGATCTGCTGATTTGTTCCATAGTTTGTGTAGCTGTCAAGTTATTGGCACAAACAAATAAAGTATCCTTCGAAAAACCAAGCCAAAGAATTTAGGAGAGACAGCACAGGCTGAATTTCTTTCTTGTGTCTGGGGATCAAAGTTCTTTAGCACCTTTGGAAAGCTGTGGATTTCTTTCTTGAAAATTGTCTGCATCTACTGCTGTTGCCAGACAAAACCTATAGCAAGAGATGCGTGAGACCTGTTTGCTGCCTGCCAAATGGGAAGGCTGTCTCCATCCGGTATTCTTGCAAATAGCAATTTCTCTCTCTGATCTGGCAAAGCATCTCATTTTTTAATATTGCTGGCAAAATATCTCATATTAATCTCCAATTAATAATCTAATGAATTTTATTTAATAATGTTGGAAATCAGTAATAAATACATCACCTTTATAATACTCTATATAATACTCTTTTGTTTTCACCTTTAACTATCTCTGGCTCATTAAAGGTGCCAATGTGTATGATTTCCAAATCGAAAACTGTTGTGAATCTGTCCTGACAGTCAAATAAAATCTGCGTATCAAATGCCTACCAATAAAAAAGTCTGCAACTTCAAGTTCTTTGTTACAAAAGCTAAGGCACACTGTTCCGCCACAGTAAAGCTGATGGAAACATTCCAGACACACTGAGTTTGCGCATCCTACAACACATCACTCAGAGAAGCAGAGTGGGGATGGAGAAGGGATTTCAGAAGAGGGACCAGAGCAGAAAAAAGAGGTTCCAGGTGAGGGGAGGGAGACTGGGGCAGAGCTGCGGTGCAGGAGGCACGGGGGGATTGCTGCCTGAGCTGGCACAAGGGCAGCAGCATGCATGAGGGGTGGTGGAGTAAGCAGAGGGGAACAGCTTTGCAGAGCAATCCCTGGCAATGGGAAGAGAAAATAGTAATTGGTTCCTTAAGAGACGTTAATGCTGTGCTACACGTTCTAGTTCTTAGGGTGTTGTCAAAGTTTTTAAACTCTGAAGTAGGAATAAAAATTAAAAGTTCATAAAGTCAGGTCAGCGTTGAAGGACAATTACAATATTATTTGCACAGAAAAGAAGTCGTTCCAGTAGTGAAGATGGCCCGCAGAAGAGGTTAAATGTCTTGCATGGAAAGAAATGATGGATTTTGCAGAAAATAAGGAAATTGCAGACGGGTCCCACTGCCTGCTGTGCACACAGCAAAAGCCTTCGTTTTGCTGTAGGTTTGATGAAGAATGATACAAGCACAGGAGGAAGCTTTCATTCTGGCAGACCAGTCTCCTTTGAATAGTAACTTGAATACTGCTGGATTTGATTTCTTTCTTGGCAATTATTTTTTGTAGGATTGTGTGCTGTCAAAATGAGCCCTATAGTAGGCATCGCCTTTCTTCTCTTTAAAAGTGAAACAAATTGTTCTGGCTGGAGTTTAGATATGTCTTAAAGAGGAAAAAAAATCAAAAATAGCATCCTGATCTGCTCTCAGAAATAGTGACTGGAAGGGGGGGAGTAAGGGCCACCGTAAGAAGGAACAGCACTTGTGGTTTAGCAATAGCAGCAAAGCCCAGCACACGTTATAAATCTCTGAGTGCAACCAGATACAAGAAAAGGAAATACAATCCCCACAAATGTACTTTGGTATGGAAACTGTGGAAAAAAAAGCAAGATTTTTGGAGCTTTCACTAACACAATGCCTCTTTGGGTTTAGCAAGTCCTGGCTGATACAGCACTGAGCACTAAGTGAAAATCAGCATGTGAGGGGTCAGCCTCTTTTCTCTTACACACTGTCGATACAAGCCAAGTGGTCTTTTCCTTTCCATCCTGAGTCTGTTGGAGAGATTCAGGGACTCTCAACCTGCACATTTGAACCACATGTGGGTTCCCTGCTGGCAACCCCCTGCCTTTTGGTGCAAGCCAGACCCTCTGCTGGGGCTGGAAACCCCAGGGCTGGGTGGGTTTCAAGCCCTGAAGCCTGCAGGGCTGAAGGCCCCATGAGCAGGAGGCTGCATTTCCTTCCAGGATGAGAAAGGATTGTGTCTGGGTGCTCTGTAATGTGCTCCTGTGTAACTGAGCCCTGCGAGAGTTGAGGGCTGAAGCACTTGTTAGACAACTAACACTCCCTAGCTATAGGCAGCTCCCGCTGGATACCTTACAAGGTCTGCAGAAGATGCATATATTTTTAAAACAGATCCACCCTTCTCTTCCAGACCCTAAAATCTCATGCCAAACCAAACAAGCGCAAAAGTAATCCCAGAACGAGCTTGGATTTCTTAGGTATTTTGCAGCCGTGCTGCAAATACAAGCTAAATGTGAGTTTGTGTATTTATATGGGGTGTCCACTACCCAGATGAACTAAGTTAAATATGTGCTGAATTTTGCATATGGCATGTGTCTGCAGCGTCATGGAAGCAGGAGAATGTTCTGGTGGCCATTGCACCTGGACAGCAATAGCACACACAGACTGCAGGAAGGCACTGAGTAAGAGTATTTATAAACAGCTGATTGCCCTCATGAACATCCCAACAGGCATCCGTCCAGCCCATCCTTACAAATATCTGCTGCAGAAGCTTCACAGCTTCCCCAGGCCATCTCCTCAGAAGCTCGGCTGCCCCTGCCCCCAGCACTGTCCTGATCTGTGCTATAAACCTATCCTTTCTGCTATGGGTGGAAGAAGTAGACAATTTCTACTCTTCATGCTGCAGCCTCTTGCATATTTAAAGGTGATCAGTGTATCTTCTCTTCCCAACTTTTCTTTAGGTCCAACAGCCCTAATTCACTTTACCCAAAGGACATACCTACCCTCCTTTCATTGCTTTTAGGACTTTCTTCAACAAACCTGTAAGCATGGCACAATGGGTTGGCTGCAAGTGCAAGGCAGAAACTCACCCATGCTGAGAAGAAAGGAGGGATGGCTTTGTGACCTGCTCGCACATCCCTGAGTGTGTGAGCATTTTGTCACCTGCATCTTATACACGACCATTCAGCTCATGCTCTGCTGCAAGCGTGTTTTCCCTTCATCATCTGAATTTTAAATGAAAATTTTGAACAAATGTGACTATTCTGTCCCCCTAAATTCCCTATTAATAACAATGATGCAGCATTTGCAAATACTCTTCAAGCATGAGCCAAGCAGTCATTTCTCCCCTCACAACTTCATTGGTACACTGCTCCCCCACTTGCTGAAAGAAGGGCGC